TCTCTCTCTCTCTCTCTCTCTCTCTCTATATATATATATATATATATATATATATATATATATATATATCTGTAATACCATGCACAAAACTAGATGTAAAAGAGGAGAAGCAAAACTAATTTTAGACTGCACATTTCATCTGGGGATAATTTCAATATCTTAAGTTTAATAACTTATTTTTCAGACTCAGAAGCTAGCTACATACATGAGATTGTTTGTAAAAAAAACATACATGTTTTCTTTCATTGTCATAAAATATATGAGTAAATCCTTTCAATGTAATTAATTAAGCAGTTTCCCTTAAAAAAAATAAAGTACCTCTTTACTTTGGGCAAATCATGATAAATTAAATGTGGTCCATTTATAGCAGAAGGATACAACTGTTACTTGGCTAAAGTCAGGCCTTGGTCTTTGAGCTGCTAGAGAAGAAAACTATATCTGAATTAATTTTGATTATAATTAAATTAAAATTAAATACACACACAATTATTACTATCCAGTCACGTTTGTAAAATCTCTCTCCCTCTCTCTGTTTCTCTCCTTTCTCTCCTCACATTTAAAACCACATTGTAGTGACAGCTTCTGGAGATCATACCATTCACACATTTTGTGTGCCTGTGTGCCACATGAAGCAATTAGTTCTCAGACAATGTACCTCTCTCTAATGGGAAACATTTATGTGGCAGGAGCCACTGCTCAGTGCAAAAAGACATATTTCACATGCTGAATCTCTCAACACAATTTGAGGAATTCACTCCCCTGCTCCTCCCTGAGCAAAACCCTAGCCACATTGACATAAATATGCTACATTCACATTGTTTCTGTGAAAAAAATAGTCTACATCTAAATTTAGTTAGCATTAACTTCAAGAGAAGAAGCCATCCAATTAGAAGAATTATACAACATTATTTTTAATTGATTGATTGATTTCATGCCTACAAGTCAATGTTGACTCTTGAAAACTGCCTGGACAAATCCCTGCAGGTTTTTTGTTTTTTTTTAAAGATTTCAGAAGTGGTTTATCCTGGCTTTCTTCCCAAGGCTGAGAAAGGACCAAAAATCGGCTAGTAAGTTTCATGCCATTGATTTAAAGTCAAAACTGGTTGTTATTCAATGTTGATTTTAGTAAAAACAAGGACATTGCACCTGAATTATGGTAGGCAACAGCTAATATTTGTTTTCATGGAATTTCATCATGATATTACATTTATACAAAAGCAGGCATTTTTTAGGATAAGGATAACTTCTTCAGTGAATATCCTATGGATATTTGTGATGAGAATTTGAATTTTAGCTCAAAGTTCTGCCTCACTAATCCTCAATGAGGGAAACCAAGATGAAGGGGGAGGGGGACGATTTAAGGTCCTTCAAGAATTTCGATACTCTACTTATGTGATTCCTTTAGAACACAAGCTGTATCTACAAAACCATAAACAAGAATAGTTAATTCATGAATGACCATCCAATTGATCACTCACCATAAAGATTTGCAAAATGCTTGTTAGGGATAGTATTTTTGTTGTTGACAACATCTGGTGTTGAAAATATCAGAATGGAATACAGATACTGTACAAAAGTACAGACAAATCTGTTGATGAACAAAATACCATACACTTTTCCTTCTCTGCAGAGCCAAAATTCTTGAAATATATCTTCAGATCTTATGCACATCACTGATATAGCTAGTTCCCCCTGATAGTAAGATCTCATTTTCAGAGACTTGATGAATAGTGTTGAATAGACACTCATTAAAAATAAAATAGCATAACAGATAAAGACCCTTTGTTATAACTATAGTTTATTGCTCCCATAACAGGTGCTTAGGTGGTTAACATGAAATAAAAAATGCTCATAAATCAAACTATTTAATATTATTAATTATTTATATTGCATCTCAGACTACAGAGCAGTTTTTAACTGTGCAGGTTTGTGCCATGCTCAGATCTATAAATTGTTTATAACAATCTGTTTCCTCTAAAGCATTTATACTACAATGTTAATATAAGATACAATGTGTAAGCTTTACTGATTAAAAAAAATGAAGATTTGGCCAAAGGGGTCTTTCTAAAAAATTGAGTATCTATGAGTATGGGTGAGTGTGTGTGTGTGTGTGTGTGTGCGCGCACGTGCATGTTTGTCTCTGTGTTGTAGAAATGTTCCAAAAAATTATAACATCAATGATATGAGTTACTTTCCTACATCACCCTCAACCTAGAAGAGATCTCCAGATACATTAATCCAAGAACACAAAGTAAACCCATTTTCAGGGTACTGTCAGCCCCGGACGCCATCTTTTGGATCTTTTTTTGGATCTTCAGGACTGCCACGCTTAGTCTGGGAGAAACTGGGAGGGGGGTTTGCATGGAGTTGGTAGAACTATTTAGCTTGGTATCTCCACAATGAACTTGAGAACTTTTTCAAGCCAAATAGAACTCCATGGGTGGAACTTGGTTTCCATGGGCAGAGATAGTTCTTCAATTACATTTGTATTTAACAGAAGAGATTTGTGTCAATGGCAGTACATAGCCAATGGAGAAATGTGTGTCCATGTTGGAACTCCTTTTGTGACTGAATATTTTGAAATTCCCTACCTGATCCTCACTCTCAATACAATGGATAAGTATGTCAGAACCTGTTTGCTTTATAAAAACAAATTGCAGGTTTAAAATTATAAATCTTTCAATAAAATGTAAACAACTAGGTTTACAAGGTGGTTTATAAAAGAGATACTACTGAAGGTACTACAAATTCTCTCTGATTTGTTTTTCAGCTGAAATAGCAAAAGATAGCTCTCATGAAATTTTCATATGTTTTTCTTCAGTCAAGATGCCTAGATAAACATGTTTATGGTGAAACATTCTCTCTCCTTTTCTCTCTGGATGAAGTATACGAAACAGCACACTTAACTGATAGCTTTATGTGCAGAAGGAATGTATGTAAAATCTTTTAATATTAAAGCTTGCAACATCTCATTGTATTTTCAGGCAAACTAATCACATACACTAAGCTGTAATTCTTAGGTTAGTTAAAGGATTATACATATTGCATTAAAAGCATCCACATATGTAAGTACCAGAGTTGTGCTCACCTGTGCTGTCATCATAAACCACTGTGACAGTTTTCCACTTGAAGAATTGCACAAGGTCAAGGATGGCACGACTGAGTGAAGAAAAATCTGGATAAAGGCTGACATAAAATGAGTCTTTGTTGTCTGAAACCTGATGCTTCCAGCGGGTCTGTATATGTGGAACCCCCAGTGCATTGCAGATGGATTGCACTGCGTTTGCTGAAGAGCTATGGGAAGGGCCAAAGATAGCTGCTACTCCCAATGAGAGCTGGTCACAAGCTGAAAAAAAGATGAATACAATTCATATTACACAAAGAATAAGGGCTAATGTTTAAACTCTTTTCAGGGGGAAGGGAGGGAGGGACGAACGAAAGAAGGAAGGAAGGAAGGAAGGAAGGAAGGAAGGAAGGAAGGAAGGCAGGCAGGCAGGCAGGCAGGAAGGCAGGAAGGCAGGAAGGCAGGCAAGCAGGCAGGCAGGCTATATTTACTTATCATCTAATTCATGATCAGAGAGCCAAGGTTAAGACATCAAACTAGAAATTCTGCCTTATGCATAAATCCAGTTGGGCGACCTTGGGCCATTCAATCTCTCCCAGTCTTAGGGAGAAGGCAATAGCAAATCACTTCTGATTTTTTTTAATCAAGAACCCTGCAGAGATTTGCCCAGGCAGTTACTAGGAGTCAAAACTGACTAGAAGGCACTGAATGAAAAATGTAGTGTCCAGCCACATAGGTTCATACAGAGCTATTAATGCTTATGATTCCATGCCACTGAGTCATTGTCAACCCATTGAGACTAGATAGATAGATTCCCTAGATAGATAGATT